AAAAAAAAAAAACACATCTTAGTAAAACTAATACCTTCTCAGCTTGGCATCGAAGCTAAAATTGAATTTTTTGACGAGCTTTAATTGTTCTTTTTATCTAATCAGCTAATTAGCGCTACTTTATTATTATTTTGTCCTTATGCTAAACTTAAATTTTAGATTTGAAATAAGCGCTAAAATGGGTTTAGAAAAGTATATTTTTGTCCCTGATGAAAATTCTTGTAGATCAATAAATTTATTTATAAGTAAAAAAAATGTTTGAAAACTATAGCATCAAGCCCTTCAACTTTTTTACATGTTTGCCATAAAAGTAATATCTACTTTATAATTTTTTATAATTTCTCCTTAAAATTTCAAGACTAAATTATTAAATATCAATTTAATACTACATTTAATTGCTATAATAAATATTTATTCATATGTTATATTTATAAATCATAAAACTTGTAATCAGGATATAAATAAGAAAATAAGAGTTCATTTTGCTTTTGGAATAAATCAATAATTTTTTAACATTAAACACTATGTACAGATTTGCATTGAATCTTTTCTTATGATAGTGATTTTAATAACTTTCAGATATCATTTATACTTGTCCCAATTATGCCACGACTCCACTGTCCTATGGTTTTTTTATTTAATATTTTATTAATAACTTTCCATCTACCTTTTATATCCTTACATTTTTTAATATTTTAATTCTTTAAAGAAAAAATTACAAGCAGCCTCAATTAATTTTGTAAGTTATTTATAAGATATCTAATAAAATATTTATCAAAAAGATCTTTTCTACTTATTTAATATAATTTCTCTTTGTGCCTGATAAAAACTATTAACTCTTTAAAAATCTATTCTTTGAGAACGACAATCTCTATCTTAGTTTTAAAATTTCGAAAATAAATGGCATTATTAATTAATTAAACGTACATATTTTGATTAAATACATTTATAGCATCATCAACATCATCTAAATTAAGTGGTTGGTTGTAATCCTCAGCTTATATAATTTAGTTTAAATAAGTAAAATTAATAAATTTAGATTTAAAGACCGAGCCAACATTGACTTAAAGTCAATGTTGTCTATCTGTCAATGCAACAGTACTAACTTAATTTTTTTATTTCATTAAGAGGACGGATATATGACGCAAGATCAATTTTTTACTCAAATGGGCCAATGTCTCAAAGAAGTTGAGTTATATATTGAGAGAATTTATAATTATTCCCACAATAAAAAAGTAGGGATGACTCAAGAGCAATTAATCTTTGCTTTTAAAGTATGTTCTATTACAATAGATTATGTTGAAGCTACTCAATTAATGAGTGAATTTACAAGAAGAAACGCACAAAATATTAGCTTCCAAGGTAAAATCAATATTACGTATAATTGTTTAGACACATTACTCATCTATGATTAATATGATATCTTTCAATAGTTTCTTAAATCCAAGATTGATAGATAATCCGTTGTCGAGAAGGTTGAAACAACTAAATTAAACCATTTATAAAAGTACCAATGCCATTAAGCATTATGAAATTTCACTTTTACGACATAATCTTAATTTGTAATCAGTATTTCTAATTTTACTTCATATAAAATAAATTTTCACTAAATAAAATTATATATTAGAAGTAGGGTAAAAATGGGGATTGAATACGATAGGGAAAAAAGGGGCATGGTCTATGTGAAAGAAGTGGAGGAAATAGGCGTGACCTATGTTAAGGGGAAGGTGAATGAGATGCCAAATGAGGCGTCAAATTATGATAAACATTTTTATGAGGACAAAAGCGATGCTATCTGTATATTATCAAACACACAGCTATCATTTCTACGAATTCTACAATAGGCATCCAGACGCTTAGGTATAAGCATATTATTAACATCGAAAGTAATACCACACTATAACGCTCATTGATGTACGCATTTTATTATTTAAACTATCCGTTTCGATTTATGCATTAAATAAATGAAATATAATAAATATGTACTAAAATAAATAACAAATTTTTTTTAATAGCAAAATATATATTCAAGTTATTATTAGTATTTCTTAAATATAAAATTTTACATAATTTTTAGAAAAAAAAATTATATTTTATAAACTTCATAAATTCTAATCTAATATCTACTGACGCATTTTTTAATTTTTAATTTTGCTAGAAACAGTCAGTGACAATGAGTGAAGTAGCTGTCTTGAATTCTGTCTTCGTCAGCATCGGACACGCTATCTCCTTTACGTAGAACGCCTCTTAGAATTAGGTGTACATGTGATATGGTACAGCATACTTATCATTCGAAAAGTCCATTCACAAATTGTCATAGGGGTACGGTTTTGAGTTTAACTATACTTTTAGAGATGATAACGAACAGTACTTTGAAATATGCTTACCTAAGCGTCTCGTAGATAATAATAAATTTCTTAGAAAATGATAACTATTGTTCTGATTAAAAATGTTTATCATAATTTTAATTTGACATCTTATTTTAGTACCCCATTCTACTTCCCCTTAACATAGGTCGTGCCTATTGCCTCCATTACTTCCACATTTTTCCATGCCTCTTACTTCCCCTATAGAGATCAATCCCATTTTTACGCTATTACTAGATATTATTTTTGATTAAGTAACCATTAAAATGAATAATTTAACTTGATATTTTTCTAGAATAGTTTTTGATTAATTATCAAACAGCCTTATGGTCAAAATACTTTAAAAAAGTGTTTCAAAAATATAAAAATAAGACATTATTATTTATTTATAAATGTAAATGTATATTTGTGTATAGTGACAATGAAATTAAGTTATGAAACATAAAAATAGGGGATATATCTTTTTATTTTTATTGTTATCAATAAGAAGCTATAGCTGATAAAAAGATATTCCATTCATTTATCAAGCTGAATCATTCTGTGTATTAAATAAAAATTAATATATAGTTACATTTAATCAATTAATGATATTTTTGTTTATTTTTTTTTTCAGAATTCAGATCAATATTTACACATAAACTACATAATTTAGTCTAGTGACTAGACTTTAGGAATTTACATTAGAATCCCAAACAGGATTCCCTACATAGTCTTCTTTTTGTGTACTCTAAATTCCTGTGGTATTCTAACTTTGAAGCATTCACTCATTTTACCTTATCTCCAATCAAATTATAATTTGTCTCTTAATATAGAAAATGTTACAATATAATAAATTTAAAATAATTTTTGTCTTTTTTTTTCTATGATTCAATACTTAACAATTCAAATATATGAATCACTGTTATGATATATTTACCACTCATTAGCACTTAGTGATGGAATCTAATATAGACGATTCATGTAAAATCCTAAACTATTGTATGTCAATAAATTGTAGGAACTATATAAATTGATCTATAATAATTAACACAATTAATTAATAAATAATGGCGTTGACAATGGCGTATTTTCGAATTTTTCTGGC